GCGGGGTGGCTGGGCACTGCGGTTGTGTGCGGCGGTGGGTCCGGCCCCTCGGGGCTGCGGCTGTGGTGCGGGGAGGTGTGCTTCGCCATCGCTTCCCCTTCCACCTACTGCTAGGGCGGCGGCGTCTCCCTTTCCCCTCCCCATCCCCCGGGGTTGTATTCATTCGCGCACGTGTAGGTGTCTGGTGACATTTGGGATAACACTCAAGGGGAACAGAATCTCTCTCACATCCTGTTCGTCAAAAACACGCTCTCGGCAGCTCCTGAGCCGGTGCCTAGAGATGTCGCGCTTCCTGTGGCGGTCAGGGGGTTGCTGGAGGCCCGTGTTAGTGCCCTCCCTGAGAGAAAGATGGCTTCAACCCAGCAAGCAGGCCATGAGGCAGCAGGCAGCCGGATACTCAGCGTCTGTGTGCTGGGCAGCTTCTCAGGAAATACGAACTTCCCAACCAGCCGTGTCATGAGCTGTCACCGGACCAAGGAATGGGGGAGAGAGGGGGGTAGGAAGAGAGAAGTGTATTGAGTATATGGGGGGAAAGTTGAGTGGGGTGCAGCTCCACAGGAAACCAGGCTTTGTTAATTCCATGGGTTATAGACAAGCTGTTTGCTCTTAGCTACTGCCACTTTCCCGAAACATTAGTAAATCATTTCTAACATTCAAAAATACCTATGCAAGATGCTGCTGGGCAAAACAGCAGACACATGTTTCTGGTCAAGGCTGGCAAAAGGTGACTCTTTGTGTTGCACAGTCTGTGACTTTCTGCATTGTTAGGTAAAATGCCAGTTTGTAACCTGAAAACATTGTCTGTCGACAAGGTATTGTGTTCTAAAGGCATTGTTCTAAAGAGTCTGAAATCACCAAGGCAGGTGTATTGTTCCTAATACAAACTTTGTTGAGGAGGTTAATTTTCTTGCCCTAAGAGCAAATCACATTACTTACCTTTGGAAAACAATGAATCCAGAGTTTGGTTCCTCAGAATCTTACCAGTAAACATAGCGAACAAGACATATTTTTACTGCTTTGCATCGCAGTTTAAACAAGATACAGAAATGCAAAAATCAGAACATTTGAATTTTAACTTATAAGACCTCTAACTTATAAGAGGGCAAGGACAAGGACAACAAAAATGTTTATCAGACTGTATACATCTTAGAAAAACAATGAGTATCACAATTGAATTTCTAATCACCACAATATGCAACTCTGGTACAAGATGCAAACTGAAGCTGTGTGAAATAAGTCTTATGTCAGTATGGTATTTCATAGATTATGTTTTTCAGCAATGATGATACCAATACTATGGCTAGAAAGCACTCTGTTTTCACAGAGACATATGAAAACTCTCTTTTTCACAGTACAAGAGAGACATGGCACTACTGGAAGGAGTCCAGCAGAGGGCTACAAAGATGATTAGGGGACTGGAGCACCTCTCCTCTGAAGAAAGGCTGCGAGAGCTGGGCCGTTTCAGCCTGGGGAAGAGAAGACTGAGGGGAGATCTCATCAATGTGTACAAGTATCTGAAGGGAGGGTATTAAAGAGGATGTGGCCAGACTCTTCTCCGTGGTGCCCAGTGACAGGACGAGGCAGTGGGCATATACTGAACCACAGGAAGTTCCCTCTGAACGTGAGGAAAAACTTCTTCACTGTGAGGGTGACAGAGCATTGGAACAGGTTGCCCAGAGCGGTAGTGGAGTCTCCTTCGCTGGAGATATTCAAAAGCTGTCTGGACACGATCCTGGGCAATGTGCTATAGGTGAGCCTGCTTGAGCAGGGAGGGGTTGGACTAGATGGCCTTGCAGAGGTCCCTTCTAACCTCAACCATTCTGTGTGATTCTGTGATCTTCGTAGCCCTCTGCTGGACTTCCTCCAGGAGCTCCATGTCTCTCTTGTAGTGGGGAGCCCAGAATTGCACACAGTACTCCAGGTGAGGCCTCCCCAGGGCTGAGGA